CAGGCTGGCTGTCCCGCTGCTCAGGCCCTTTTGGCATCCGACAGTGTGCACCAAACAGAAACAGGACAGCGGGTGACCGATGGCTCTGCCCCGGCCCCAGGGTCAGCGGCTCTGGGCACTGTGATGAGGATGGTGGGGGGACGAGGACTCCATGTGAGGGGGAAAAGCCCCCCCCAGCAGTCCCTGGGCACTGGGATCTGTTTTCATCACGTGCTGAAGGGATTTGGCTGCACAGGGCACTGCCAACCTGTGCGGTGTATATGTGTACTTGTGTTTTCCATGGAGGTCTGGTGCCTCATGGTATGCTTATGGCAAGAAAATGAGAGTGGGGCAGCCACATGTCTTCCCTGAGCATTTTGCAGGCCTGATACCTGCACAAATGGGCTGACGGAGGGGAGGGCTGTGCCACAAGCGTGGGACCCTGCCTGTTCCTGCCTACAGCTCAGACCCCGTCCCTGGCTGCCACTAGGTCCCCTTGGTGCTTCACTGCCCTGACGCAGCAGCAAGCCCCTGTCATTGCTGCGGCACAGTGGGAAGCCTGGGTTTGGGGCTGCAGGTAAGGGGAAATGACCTTTCCCCCACCCTTGCTATTTATTTTTCTGCTTTTTTAGTGGAAGCAGAGCCCAAGGATGTCCTGGAAGGAGGAGGACAGCACCCTGGGTGTGTTTGTGCTGGCAGGGCCTGGGGCACCCATGGGTGTTGTGCACTCTGCTGCTCAGGCAGGTGGAAGGGCCACGATGCCCATGGGTCCCTGATGTGCCGGAGGGACTGGCCACAAGCCCCAGGCAGCGGGACACATCCCAGTGCCAAGCCCTGCCCCAGTGGCTGCTGAGAAACTGGCCCTGCAGCCCAGGGGTGTCCCCTTGCCAGCTGAGGACAGGCAGACATCATGACAGTGGTGGCAGGAGGGGCTCCCAAAAAAGCGCCGGCGCAGGCGCATGAACTCCTTGTGCTGGCGGGAGACAAAGTTGACAGCTGCGTACTCCAACAAGGCGGCAAAGACAAAGAGCAGGCACACGGCCATCCAGATGTCAATGGCCTTCACGTAAGAGACCTGTGAGGGCAAGAGGGGGCTCAGGGATCCGCTGCCTCCTGCCTCACTCACCCCCCACTGCAAGCTTCACCCCACTGCCAAGGGGCACAGGAACCCTCTCAGCTGGGATACCGGGGCCAGAGCTCACCCAGCCAAGCAGAGCTGTGCCCCCCTTCTTGGCACACGCGGTACCCCAGCCAGCAAGGCTACAGAGCCAGCCATTCCCGAGGGAAGGCTGCTGCTGCTCCTGCCCCTGCCCAGGCAGGCTGCAGCTGGGGAGCCTGGTGCAGGCCTGGCTCTCACCTTGGGCAGGGAGGCACGTGAGCCGGCGCTCTGTGTGGTCATGGTGAGCACGGTGGTGATGCCCAAGCCCACCCGGGCCGGCGCCGCATCCATGTTGATCCAGAAGGAGACCCAGGAGAGGATGACGATGAGTAGGCTGGGGATGTACATCTGGATTAGGTAGTAACCCATCTGCCTCTCCAGGTGGAACTTCACCTCGATGCAGGTGAACTTGCCTGCAGGGAAAGACAGCCCTGATGGGGGAGAGGGACCCCCGAGCCATGGCAGGAGGGTGGCAGCAGGTCCCTGGGGTGCTCACCTGTGTTGTAGTACTTGGTGCAATAGCCCAGGTCCTTCTCATCCCTGAGGATAAACTGCGGGAGCGTCAAGCCCTCTGCCACTTGCACGGCCTCCTGCTCCTCCAGCCACTCGAAGATGAGGTCATTCATGGTGTAGCCAACTGGAGGGGATGGAGGGAGCCATGGGACAGGGTGGGACGTGCACCCTGTTCATCCTCACCCTGAACGAGTGCTCCTCCCTGCTTCCCTCAGAAGCAGGGAGATGCCTGCCTTTGGGATGGGATGGGATGGGATGGGATGGGATGGGATGGGGTGAGATGTAATGTGGGAGATGAAGCATGGCTTGAACCCCCCACTAGGTACTCACAGCTCTCCAGCTGCATGGTGCAAGTCTGGATGTCCATGGGGAAGTTCTTGAGGTCCATGGGGCAGGACAGGATCAGTGTCAGCCTGGAGGAGGCAGAGGAAAGGCAAAGGCTTGCTGGGGGCTGGGGCAGTCAGCGGGGGAAAGCTGCCCCATGGGAGGCAAGAGAAAAGCTTCACCTCCCCACTTGGGTGCAGCACCAGAGAAGGAGGATTCTACCTAATGCTGTAGAGGACATTGCCATTCTTGAAGATGCGCAGCAGCTTGTTGTCAGTGGTGACCTCGTGGAAATTGGCCCCTTTCTCATTGGCGAAGAACAAGTCTGGCTTCCAGATGGAGTCAAGCATGGAGGGGTCAAGGTCAAGAGAGTCATCAGGGTACTCACGATAAGCCAGGCGGGGGTCGTTCCACTGCTGCCGCAGGAAGACGTTCACCCGGTAGTCCTGGGGCAGAGAGCACTGCATCAGGTGGGAGCACCCCATGGTGCCCAGGGAGGAAGAAGAGGAAGAGGAGGAGGTGGAAGGGCGTCTCAGTCAAGGCTCAGCCCTGCCACGTGCTGACTGCCTGACACTAACCATGCACAGAGCAGAGGCGGCTCAGGAGCCTTCCCATGCTATTGGTAGCTAGGGGAAATTAAAACCCCAGAGCCACAGCAGCCAACAGGAGGAGGAGGAGGACCACTAGCTGCTGCCTACAGCATTCCTCACAGGGGTCTGTGGCCCTGTTGGGAGTTGATGGTATTAAGGCTTTGCAGCAGCTCAAATAGAGAATTTTTAGCCCTGTGGCTTCCTCAGAGAAGTTCCTTGTGCACCCAAGGAGGCTGGGGATGCAGAACTCGCTTGCATTGTACAGCACCTACTGAGCCTGTGAACAGCAGGGAGCTACCGCCGGCTGCCTCGCTCCGACCCTTTGGGGTGTTTCTCCCAGCTCAAACACAGGGAATGTGGCCCACACAGCCAAGCTCTGGTTAGCTGACCCCAGAAAAGCCACAGCCATTTGCTGTGGTTCTGCATGTCCCCACTGCAGTGCCATGGCTCCAGAGAAGGGCTCACAGGACCCCTGCAAGCATGGCCACAGGTTTGAGCACTGGGACCCACATGCTCCCTGGCAGAGCCACTGCCAGCCCCGAGGCGCTGGGAGAGGAGCTCGTTGCACTGGCAAAACCCTCACCATGGTGGTCTCAGTGACGGAGCCGAAGCTGTTGATGAAGATGTTGCACGTCACGTTGACAGGCGGACCTGGAAAACAGCGTGAAGCCTCCTCTCACCACTGGCCAGGGAGACACATGCAATGCACAGGCACATGTGGGGATGCTGCTTCCTGCACGCACTGTGCAGGTGAATGCACACGAGCATCCCCCTGCCCGCTGGGGTCACCCGCAGAGCGTGCTGAGGTGAGCTCCAGCACACCCTGCCAGCACTGCAGCCACCCATGCTGCCAGGCAAAGCAGGCACACACAGGGCGGCTGTGATCCTAGGGGCAGTTGGGACTCTAGGGAGGGTGGTGGGACAGAGGGACGTGGGTCAGGGTCCTTCCCCCAAACCCATAGCTGCCTGTTCCCTGGTTTTGGGCAGCCATAAGCATGGGTCGCTGCCAGGTTTGGGAGCCCCACGTCCTCCCCTTACCTTTGAAGTTGGGTCGAATCCGGGCGTCATACCTTGACGTTCGTCCCATAAGCTTGTCCAGGAAATCAGAAGGTGACATGGGCTGGGGCGAGCGTCGGGAAGCAGCTTTAATCTCCTCCCGCCCTGAGACCAGCCTGCGGGGCAGAGGCGGCAGGGTAGCTGGCCGCCCGCGCCCG